CAGTCTGGACAGGATTTCAGCTTTTCCCTGTGTGGCCAGCCTTACCTACATGTGGTTCTGCTGATGCCCTGGAGAGGAGCACATATGTCTCCAGGCCCTGCCCACACTAGCAGCTGGAGAGGAATGAACACCAGGCTGAGACTGGGTCTCTATCCTGCCCAGACAGCTTGAGTGCTGGGTGCCCCAAGAAGTGGCTTTTTCCTGCCCTTAATAAAGATGGTGGTAAGGTCATATGACCTGTCTGTTAATATTCTGATCTGCTCCTTGAAATTCCACCCCTGCAGTCTGATGTAAAATCCTCATTCTAAGGAAAAACTCTTCCCCTTCCTCTCTCTCTCTCCTGCTTTTTCATCCCTAGAGGTGCATACCCCTCCACCTCTCTCTCCTCTTTCTCTCTGTCTGTCTCTTTTTCCTATCATCTCTTTCCTTCATCTCTCTATTACAATAAACTCTCCCCATGGAGGCAGTGTCTGGGTTGTTAATTACTGGCTGCTGCTGCCATGCCTGCATGGTGTGCATCTGCCCAGCCCACTGTTGAATCTGGTCAGCATGCCAGCATGTTTCCCTGCATGAGTGGGATACCCTCAGGGGTGCCCCCATGCAATAATTCATAACATTGGTTCCTAATGTTGCTAGGCTGTCCTAATATTGGTACCCAACATTGCCAGGCTATCCCACTGTTTCTCTTGCCCACCAGCAGTCTGAGGAGCTCTGGGATCCTGTACCACCTGCCATTTTGGGGGCTGGAGCACCGCCTGGGACTCTTCACCCTACTGGATTGGTAAGATTCCTCCCTTCCCTTCTGTCCATTTTCCCACAAGTGAGGATTCATCTCATTTCACTTGCTAGTACCACATGTCTTTTGGGCTCTATGCCTCTTGGCCCCTGTCCCTATGTAACAGCATATTTATATGACTTGTACCCACTTCCTCACTGACTCTCTGGGATGCTAAAGGTCAGATTTGTCTCATTTCATTTGCTAGTACCACGTGTCTTTTGGCCTCTGCTGCTATCTCTATGTGATGGCATATGGAGACGGTCTGTGCCCTCTATCATTGGTCCTCACTGACCCTCTGGGACTCTGGAAAAATGTACCTATGGTCCCTTGCCCCCACCACTGCCACTGCCACATGGCTTGGGTTCATTCTCCTACAGCTGCTCATACCATGCTGCAACCTGGGGTGGGGGGGTCCCTCTCTCCCACCCAGCTGCACTGCTACTTCTCCATCTTTCTTTCACAAAGTTTATTTCTTGTGTACAAATGGAAATATATGATTGATATGGCCATCTATATTTCTTTCTGACTGACTTTTAAATGCTTCAATTTATTTGTTTATCTGCTTGGTTTATTTTGGGAAAAAAAACCCACATGAACACGTGGTCAGGCACCATATTTGATAGGGGTGATCATGTGATCAGGGGGTGCCATCATAAATAAGGGCAATCGCGGGATCAAGGTGCTATTTTAAATAAGGGCAACCATGTGATCTAGCTGCCATCTTGGCTAAGGTCAAAACAGGCAGGTCATATGACCTCACTGCCATCCTTACTATGGGCAGCATGGGCAGGGCACCCAGCCCTCAGGCTGTTGGTATAGAGGGAGGTTAGGGAACCTCCTCCCTCCCCCTGTTGTTTCACCATTGTTTTATGTGCCGGGAAAAAGTCATCTGGCTTTGGCTTGGCATTCCCCAGCTGCCTCTCTCTCACTCCAGTTGTCTTGGCAGGATGGAACTCCTGTCTTGGGCTGGTGTTCATTCCTCCATATCTGCTTGTGTGGTCAGGTCCTGGAGACCTATGCGCTCCACTCTGGGGCATCAGCAGACCCACATGCAGGCAGTACCATTATATTAAGATTTTTAAATTTTAGATTTTAACATTAATACAATTCTGATACACTTTGGGTCATAAGCTCAGGATTTTAAATTTTCCTTGGTTACTCATTACCTGCTTTTACATGATTTGGATTTCAGTACTGATTGATAATATTAATTTATCTAAAACTTTTATTTTTTTAATCACTTGTCTATTCCTAAGGATAGTATTTTTTCTCGTTCCTGGTCTTGGGACTCCTGCTCTTCCCAATTATTAAGACCATGAGCAAAAAAGGCTCCAAATCAATTCATAAATTTTAACTCCCATCTCTAGTCTATATTTAAACAGACTGGCAGAAACATCATAGCAACAGTTGTGGACCACAACCTGCAGAGCTTTCCCTGCTATGGATGTCAGCAGAGATTCTTGTCTGTGTGATGTGGACCAGCCCAGCCAAGTGTAATTGTTCCCTGCCTCTGCGGCCAGGTCAGATGACCATGTGCCTGGTTCCCTCCTCACCTTTAACTAGCCAGAGTCCTGACCACCTGTGCCCTGTTTCAGCTTGAAGCAACTATGGAGAATACATCATCCTGTGCTCCCTGTTCCCAGGAGAAGCTTAGGGATGGAAACCCTGGCATAGAATCCGCCATTTTAGGGATGGAAACCCTGGCATAGAATCCACCAAGAGGGTCCTTTACCTTTTCTCAGAGGGTGCTTTTCTTAGAGTTGGGTTGCACCCTGACTCACAAGTCCCTTTTCTCCTGTTCTCATTCAGCCTTGGGATCTTTCCCTGTCACTTGTCTTTGCCTTCTCTGGAGACAGCTTAAGAAATAATTATTTCTATGTAAGTCATTAGGATTATAAACTGGCTGTACTCAAAGATCAGAACTACACCTACAGGGTCTTAAAAATGGTAATCGATTCAGATATCACTGCCAACAGCTTGAAGAATGTCTCTACTCACTCAAGGTCTATTCAGGCTTAAGAATGTGAACCTTCCTCTCCTTGCCAACTTCATTAAGCTGTAATTAACTGGGAAACCTGTATATTCAGATTTAAGTCTCATATATACATACATACATACATACACACACACACACACACACACACACACACACACACACACACACATATATATATATATATATATATATATATATATATATGCTTTCAAAGTTATAAATACATCTAACAGATTTTGTTCCCCCAGTCCTCAAACACCTGTAGAGATCTGAGAATATGGCATTTAATATAAAAGCTTTTTATGATAGAGAGACATGTCAGCTCCTGGCAGCATCCTGTATCTCCTCCAAGAAGATAGGTGGCCGCAGAAGAACTTCCACCCAGAAGCTTATGGCAAGGCTGGCCACACAGGGAAAAGCTGAAATCCTGTCCAGACTGTGAATAAGAGGAATAATGGAGGACTGATTGCCCCATATTGCATAGTCAAGGTGGGTCAGTCTCCCCAAATTTCTACTCCACAGAAAAAATGTGTCAGATCTTCTGGGCCTATCAGCTGAACAAGTGCTGCCTTTGGGGCTTCTGCCCCTCCCCACCCTGAATGACCACAGAGAGACTTGGGATTGCTGCCTCAGTAGCTGGAAAGTTGTCTCACTTCTTCCTAAATTTATCCTTCTCAAATCTGATGATGTTTGATGACGAGGGCATGTCAGTGTAACAGCCCCAGACTTCATGGTACAGGATAGACTGGTTTTAAGTTTTAATACTGATAAATGCAGCTTTGATAAATTGTAGCATGAATCTTCAAAGTTCTGGCCAACTTCTAAAGCTGATCTTGTTTCCTCAGACTGGAAGCCTCTGTGTCCTCATATCCGAATGGCTCTCAGCTGAACTGTGCTGCTCAAAACCTAAAAGCTTAACCAGCCAAATGCTTCTAGTTTCTGGTCCTCACGCCTTATATACCTTTCTGCTTTCTACCACCACTCCCTGGGATTAAAGGCTCACTTTCTGGGATTAAAGGCGTGAGTCACCATGCTTGGCTGTATCCTTGAACAGATGGATTTCTGCCTCTGGAATGCTAGGATTAAAGGCGTGTGCTACCACTGCCTATCCTAAGAATCTAGTGGCTTTTCTGTTCTCTGACCCCAGATAAGTTTATTAGGGTACACAATATTTTGGGGGAACACAATACCACCACAGATAAATGGATATAACATTGACTACTAAGAGTTCTTAAGAGTCCTTAAATGGATTTTTAACCCTTTTACCATGATGCAAATCCATTCCAGCTGTCTTACAGATAATTACAGACTCCTGGGAAAAGTTTTGCTACTGCATCAAGAAATCTGGTCTGATGAATACTAGCAATCTCCAGAGCCCATTTCTGACCCCACCTATTTTTTGAGCATATTTTGCCGATTCATTGTTCTTACTTGACCTCTAGAGAAACAGCAGATGCCATGGCTTCTGTACTCCTGATTTGGCATGCCATTTCCCCCCAAGCTCCTGGAACGCCACTGCTGCAACCTGCCTCCTCAGCTCCCTCAAGGAACGTTCCTGAGATCTTCTGCCATGTGCTACTCCCCGTTCCCCCCTCCCCACTTCGCCCCTTGTCAGCTTGAAGTATCCTGGAGAATTCAGTGCCCTTGTTCCCCTACTTGCTCCCATAACTCACCTCTTTTCATGATAATCAAAACAGAGGAATGTTAATATTCTGACCTGCCCCTTGAAATCCCATCCCTTGGTGCTGCCCTGCATCCTGACATAAAAGCCTCATTCTAAGGAAAAACTCCTCCCCTTCCTCTCTCTCTCTCTCTCTCTCTCTCTCTCTCTCTCTCTCTCTCTCTCTCTCTCTCTTCTGCTTTTCCTCCCATGAGGTGTGCACCCCTTGGCCCCTCTCTCTCCTTCTCTCTCTCTCTGTCTCTCTCTTTCCTATCTTTCTCTTCATCTCTCTATTATAATAAACTCTCCATGTGGATGCAGCATCTGGGTTGTGAATTACTGGCCACTGCTGTCATTCCTGCATGGCATGCACCAGTCCAGCCTGCCACTGCACCTGCCCAGTATGTTTCCCTGTATGCTCAGGATACCCTCAGGGGTGCCCCTCCCCACGAAATAAATCATAACAGAAGCAGGAGCAGAATGAGTTTGAGGCTAGCCTATCCTATATAGTAAAATCCTGTCTAAAAAAAAAAAGCAAAACAAGAAAACAAACAAAAGACTCAAAGTTAGGATTTGCGGTATTTTTATTTTCCAACCTTAATTTAAAATTCCATTAAAACAAACACCAGAAATAAAAATCTGGCCTAATGGTTAACATCAGAACACTGATTATAAAATGTTTTAGAGATATATAATTTGCACACAGTTGGCATCAAGAGAAAAATTAATGTACTCTGCAAATTAATCATATTCAACTGAACTCTCATTACTTTGATTTATAATATTTTAGCCCTTGTGAGAAGACAAGTTATATATGTCTATTTATAACAATATGATCATTATACTGGTATAGACAGACATATGTAGCTTATGAAGAAACAAGGTTCATCTCTCTATTTAAAGAGGGGAGCCAAGAATATAGCCCACTATGTATTTCATGCAAATTAAGTCAATAATTTCTTGATGAATATAAAGAAATTGAATACTTTCTATGTACATGCTTTGTCTTCTCTATTCTATGATTTTTACTTCTCAAAAATGGGCCCCATGCTGGTCAAATAATTTCAAACACAAAGGTCACACAGGAAACCTAACATTTAAAAATTTACAAGTAGTAATTTTTATAACCTTTTGTTAAGTCACATTTTAAAAGACTGCTCCCTCAAAAGAGATGTATACATTTTTATGAATGTAATTTTTCAAATATTTTAAAGATTTAATTTTATTTTATGTGTATGATTGTTTTGCTTGCATGTATATCTGTGCATCATATGTGTCCAGTGCCCATAGTGGTCGGCAGAGGGCATTGGATCCCAGAGAACTGGGGTTACAGATGGCTATGAACCACTGTGTGGGTACTGAGAGCTGAACTTGGATCCCCCATAAGAAGAACAAGTGGTCTTAACCTCTGAGCCATCTCCCAAGCCCCAGAAATATATACCTTTAAAAGTGTGAATAATCTTGTTATTGATACAAATTTGCTTGCTTTATTGGACTAAGTATTAAGTTTTCAATTAAGACAAAAGCCTAATTGGTGGTGGGTGATGGTGGCACATGCCTTTAATCTCAGCATGTAGGAGGCAGAGGCAGGAGGAGCTTTGAGTTCAGGTCAGTCTGGTCTAAAGAGCTAGTTCCAGGATAGCCAGGGCTACACAAAGAAACCCTGTCTTGAAAAAAAAAAAGAAAGAAAAGAAAAGAAAAGAAAAGAAAAAGAAATCTAATTGGTTATTTGCCAGAATTCTCCAAATGATTTTGGGAGAGGGTCTTAGATGTCTTAACTGTTTGTTGAAGAAAGGTCTGTACTGAATCTGTCTCATGGGAATGTTAGTGAGAACCACATTGTGGTGAATTGATACAAATACAGTTGAAACAGGTAAAAGTGATTTCCAAAAGAGTATCCAGTCACCAAAATGAAGGAGAGTGGATATGCTGTAAGACTTAGCAAGAAAAAAGAAAGGGAGGCACAGGAGGGAGGAAGAGGAGGAGAGAACCGGGCAGGCCAGTTCCAGAAGGTGAATTTGAAATCTGTTCTCACACTTAATTCTCCACAACAGACCTGACTGGTGAGCATTAGGAAGTATTGTAGCTGCAGGAGGCTTGGCCAGCATCTCCTGTGAGCTTGGAGTGTGAGGAGAGCCTGGGGGAGGGTGCTCTGAGCTGAGTGCCTTCTGTTCTGTGTACTTATGAGCTTTGAGAATAATAGTTGGATATAACAGTTTGTAAAGATACTCTATTTTGGGTCTAATAGTTTTCCAAAATTCTAGTGAATTCAAATCCTAACTGCATAACCAAAATGCTTTTACATTAAAAATACGATTTCACAGCTGTTCTCCTAGTAATCAGAGTACCTAATAAAATTAGTTTCAGGTGTAAGAATAACATTGTTGCTCATTTCTAGTTTAAGGTTAATGAGAATATAAAACAATTAATTTAGAGCTAGGGATGTAGTTCAGTGATGGACTGGTTGCCTAACATGCACACGGACCTAGGCTCAATCTCCAGCCCCATAAAAATAGAATAAGGAAAAAAAGTCAAAACCTAAAAACCTCCATCTGAAAATATTAATAGATCACCTTGAAATTTTTTCCATAGCAATATTTAAATTAGTTTATTTCTGAATATCTATGTGAACACTGTCTGGTGGCTACCTACTAAATTCTACTCATACAGAAGGAAAACCTACGTCAATCCCCACAACTGTATCTTTATGCCTTGCTAAATAAGGGTAACTGCTGAAACCCACTCTGTCTGTTCTCTGAGAACAGTGCCCATGCTGGACTGCAGTCCTCAACTATGTATGATTCTTGGTTAAGGTCCTTCTGGAACAGCAATTAACTGGTAACTACCAAAAACATTTTGTAAAACTAGCTACTCAATTGACAAAAAACAACAATGTGTATAGTAAGAAGTGACAAGAATCACAACTCTGTGTTGTTAGGTAGCTGTGTTATAAGGGGAGTACCTCACACTGGGTGAGAACTTTTGATAAGGACAGAGGTACAGGTAACACATTTCTATTTTCTGCTTTAACAGTAAGTTTTTCATTTAAATCAACTTGCCACCAAAAAAGTATACTGTTTTCTATTTCGGTACTTCAGAGACTCAAATTCTGTATTTTTTATAAAAATAACACTTCAGAAAGATCATTTTTTAAAATACCTTTAAAAAATGTGGCCAATACATATCTAAAGACCCATAACACTGACACAAAGGGTTGTCATCGGTAGAATTGTTCCTGGCGTTTTCTTAGTAGTTTTGTACAAAAGATTGGGACACACATCAGAGTAAAAATTGAAATAAACTTTTACATCAAATCTTAAAATGTCGAGAAACCATGAAGCAAATCTGGATACTAATATCTCAGACAAAAGAAAATCTAACGATCAACTTCAGCGGGCTCTTCAAATTTTGCTTTGCCAATGACCTCAAAATCTTCTAAAGGCTTATCCAGTTTTGGGAAACCATTCCCTCCAGATTCTCTGGCCTTGTGATTTTAAACAGAGGGGATGGGAATCTGCTTTGCTGATGTGCTGTCATACTCCTGCATCAGATCATTAGTGGTGTAATAGTGCATGGCAATGTACGAACTGGCAAATCCAAAAGAGTTTACTGGCTGTAACTTTCCCAGACTGCTGTCCTCCTGAGAAGGGCTGCTGTTATAGATACTGTAGTAAGGTTCAATCCGAGTGTTGATGGGCGTCGAGCTGCTCTGACCACAGTGCTGGTGTCCAGCAGATACTTTGGGACTTACCACACTTTCCTTTGAGTGACTTGGGCCGCAAGCCTGGTCCACAAATTTCTTCTGTGGCTTTGGAGACAGCATGTAGGCAGAGTTTGTCTCATGGTGGGAAGATTTGTTTCTATTGATTTCCAGGTTCCCTTTTCCCATGGCTCGAAGTCGAGTCTTCTGTTTGCAGCAGAGAAAGCCCAGGCCAAGGTACTGCAGGCACCAGAGCACCTTCCTTCTCAGCCCAGCACTATTGCGAGAGTATATAAAAGGATTTAATCCTGACTTGAAAAATATCAGAGTAAATCCCAACAGTTCAAACTGGTAAAGGATGAAGCTCCCATTGTCTGACAGAACCACCTGCACCAGGGAAATCCCCAGAGGGAGACAGCACACTAGGACCGACAACACAATGATCACACAGGTAACCACAGCTTTGGAATCCTTGGCAGTAGAAAGGTTGATGGCCGATATCAGCTGGAGTCGATTGGCAGAGGGGATCTGCATCTGGTTAGGATTCTTAGCATATCCATGAGTCTGAATGTGCTGCAGTTTGTTGTAATTCTGGTTCCTGTACAAAGCTGGCATAGTACACTGGATAGGATCTTCACCTTCCTTCCCAGAGGCCCCCATGAATGGCTGTGGTTTAGAAGCATCAACTGTGATCACAGGGGGACACTTTTTGACTTGAGCATTCTTCCGAAGGGTCTGAGCAATCATGATGTAAGAGACAGACACCACAGCAACACAGAAGGTAAAGTCAACAACATACAGAGAGAGAATGGCTTTCCCTTCCCCAGCCATCAGACTGGACATGGGGAGACACAGGTGAGACTTACTGGTTCTCAGCGTAGCCAAGGTGGCAAGGGTAAAACTGGTGGCCCAGAGAAGCAGGGTGAGGAGCAAGATGCAGGAAAAGGAGGCTGTGCAATTAGGTTGCTTCCCCAGCACCATTCGAAGTCGGTGCAGGGCAATCACAGCCACCATCTTGAGGGACATGATGATGAAGCCTGAACTGGTAAGGTGAAAGGTGAAGCAGAAAGTATCTGGGATGCTCCTCGCTGAGCTGAAGAATAGCACAAAGGTGAACATGGGAGCTGTAATCCCACAGATGAAGAGGTCACAGAAAGACAAGTTCAGGATCATGAAATCAAAGTTGGTTCTGAACTTCCTGAAGGCTGGGTCAAAGAAAGACAAGAAAACAATAAAGTTTCCATAAGAGCCTAGACAAAAGATGATGGCAAGCAGAAAAGTGCAGGTCACCAGTGTTGCCGTGTGGATAAAATCTCGAAGATCTTCCTGGACAGAAGTGCTGTTTCCTCCCAGCAAGGGAGGCATATACACCAAGGTGGCATTAGGAGCACTTGAATTCATCTTCAGAGAGAGGTGTCTCTTCCTTGTGTTCTCAAAAAACAAAACAAAACAAAAAAAATGAACAGGAAGAGAGTCAGGACCTCAACTCACAGACGAGGGACATATGCCAAAAGAGGGCCAAGGAAGATAAGCCTGCACAAAAAATGAAAAAAAAAGAAAGAAAGAAAAAACAAAAAACCAAAGTACACCCAGAGACAGAAAGGGATTAGTGAGCATAGCAATTGCATTGCATTTTACAAAAGCATTCAAACTTCTCATCTCTATTGCTTTGAAAAGTCTAACACAGAGAAGGCATCCCCAACCACTGGAAATCCATGATCTCTTCTTAGGAGGAGTTACATCAGTGTGGCTGCAGGGACTACAGCCAGGGACAATGGGAACTGAATCTATATCCCAGGGAGGAGCTGAGAAAGGACGAAGAGAGCTTTGGTGAAGTGAATCCAGGTGGGTTAAAGATGATGGGTGGGGAGGAGAATGAACAGCTTGGGAAATAGAGAATAGGTCTCTGCAGCAGAAGGACAGGCAAGCAACAGGATGTGCTTCAAATACAAGCAGGAGGGTATTGTTCATACATAATGTGGCCCTTCATTTATAAATGCCCATAAATCACTGACAAATCCCATTATTTTCTCTAAGGAGAAATCTCTATTTCTCAGGATTTATTTATTTTTCCTAGTTTGAGAGTTAAGTTCTTGGCCAATTAAAAACCCTCCTTTGAAAAGAAAAATTCATGTAGGACTATATTTGAGAGAAGAAGAAAAAAATTAAAGTAACAAAAGGTGCCTGAGATTATATTTGCAATTTCCAAGGTGCAAAGCAACCCTTTTGGGTCTGGAGATGCAGCACAATGGTACTGCACCTGTCTAGCACATAGGAGGTTTGGTGTTTGATCACCAGCAAACACACACATACACACACAGAGACACAGATACAGACACAGACACACAGAAGCACACACCATACCACTATGAGGGCTAGAGAGATGGCTTAGTGGTTAAAAGTATGTACTGCTCTTGCAGGGAACCCAGGTTCCAGTCCCAGCATCCAGACTTGGTGGTCCAACTCTAGAGGATCAGATGCCCTTTCCTGGACTTCACGGCCACTTGCATTCATACATGCACCTCCCACACACATATATACATACTTTAAAAATGAAGTAAAACTTTTTAAAAGCACTACATAAACTCTAAGTGTTATTATTACAATAGGAATATCCTTATCAAATAGGAGGTATGCATTCTGCGTTCATTAACTTAACTTACATTAACTACATGTGTGCCTTGGGCCAGTATTGTGCTAGTTTCTGAATACATAAAGATGATTATAAATGATTAAGAAGCACCTGGTACCTTAAAAGAATAACTTTCTTGCTCCTTCTTTCTGTAATCATTTTTCTCTCTTATGCAAAGAAATGTAATATATACTCACACCAATCCTCACTGTTCCCAACCCCAAAGATGTGTGTGGCCTGCTGTCCATCCTCTCCCAAACAAGAATCCAGCAAGACAGATAACATGTAGTGCTCTGCTCTTGACAACTGGGAAACGTTTGCTTCAATCTAACATTGCAGGAATAACCAATGGCACTGGGGAGGTCCAGAGCCTATGCTCAGAATATTTAACCACCAGCTTGAGCTGGAACCCAAAGGCCTCCAGGTGCCAACCCTTTAGCTGTTGGATCAGGGGGTGCTGAATGGGTCCAGTCAATGAGGGATTACTGGGGCTCCAAGCAACAGCTATGGACTGCCCAGAACAGGAGTCTTTCAGTTTTTAACTACAAGTACAGCCTTGGCAGTGAGAATCAGATCAGTTCTGGAAAAGCCATGTGACCACTCTGCCTCCCATTAAGACAGAAGCAGCCCCTGCTGCTGCAGTGGCCACAGACTGCAGAACACACACTGGGGTAAATTACTTCACTGCAACATGACGCCAACTTTTCTGCAAAATAAGTTTTCTTTAAACTCTATGGGAGATAAAAGTATAAATCTAGAAAAAAACCATGCTGATCAATGATTACAGTTAATAATAGACAGCTCTTACAGTTTTTAGTTTAAGACTGCATGCCTGTTTGTAAACACATTTGGTATAAGACAGTGTTTTACTGTTTGTTAAAAAAATGTTCCTTGGAGTTAATTTATGAAAAGGGAAGAAGAAAAACTCCATCTAAGAAGGCAGAGAGAGCAGAGATACTAGAGTAACAGGAATTTGGGCCAAGGAAAGTGGTGATGCACTTGCCTGACATGCATGAGGTCTTAGATTCACTCCTGACATTGGGAATATAATTTGGAATTACTGGTGGGGGCAATGATGCATAATCAATTAAAAAATATATAGAACTCCATGTTAGGAAATAACAGCAATACAATCTGTCAGCACAATTGTCAGTATTTATTTAGATAGTACTTATGATATGCTGGGCACTGTTCTCAGGGCTCCACACTACTGAATTTCCCCCAAAGACCTAAAATAGTATCTGTATCTCCATTTTGAAGATAAGGAAACCCAGTTAGAGAGATCACTCAGCAAGGTGGTGTGGAGGGGCCCCAAAACAGCTTGACCACACAGCAGCCATGACAGGCTTAGGGGCCTAGACATAGCTTCTGTGACAAGCTTACTGGAAGGCAACACCCAGATCCAGGAAAAGCCATGAGCTGATACCACCCAGGGATCTACCCAGGGATGGAGAAGTACCTAACATCCCAAGCATTCCAACCATTAGATAAGGTGGACAGATATCCCTGAGTCTAGCACACACCTATTTTTGTTATTACAGATATCCCTAGACAATTGTCAGCCAATCAGGGTCCTGAACCCTGGAAATCCCTCCACCCCAACCACTGCTATGATAAAAACTCTACCCCACTTGAGCTCAGGGCTCTCTGTTCTCAGATAGACAGAGAGACCAAGCTCAGAGCTTAAAGAGAATAAAGGCTCTTTGCTTTTACATGTGGGATTCCATCTCCGTGGTGGTCTTTTGGAGGTCCCTGAGATCTGGGCATAACAGTGGCAGAAGTTTCATATGAACTAAGCAATTGTTTCTCAAGGCCCACATTCTTTAACTCCATCACACACACACACACACACACACACACACACACACACACACACACACACACACACAAACACTTACACTCAAGAGAGGGACCTGTAGGTCAAAGCTAAATTACAACAGCTGTCATTTATTGGGTAGCTATTACATGCTATGCTCTCATACTCGAAGCTTTATATAAGATATAAAACTAAAGTTCATTCTCAAAAAATTCTATTAAGTATTAAAATTCTGTTCCCAAATAAAAGTTCCTGGAACACAAAACTTCAAAAACAATAAAGGAATGGAAGATAAAGTCAAACCAGAGCAGAGTACTAACTCTTGGGACTTTAAGAGGCAGTTGAGAACAAAAACAAAGATATAAGCTGGGTGTGGTGGCACATGCCTTTAATGCCAGCACTCAGGAGGCAGAGGCAGTTGGATCTCTGTTAGTTCCAGGCCAGCCTGGTCTACAGAGTGAGTTCCAGGACAGCTAGGACTGTTACAGAGAGAAAACCCTGTCTCAAAAAATGAACAAATGACAAAACGTGCTATATATATTCGTGTGTGTGTGTGTGTGTGTGTGTGTGTGTGTGTGTGTGTGTGTGTGTGTGTGTGTGTGTGTGTCTGTGTATTCAATGCTTTGGAATAAAGTCAACAGTGGTTAACCATTCCTAAACATTAGATGTTATTTCCAATAAATTGTATAGGAATGATTTTAAGTTATAATACCAGAAGTTGTATCAGAATGATTTTAAGTTATAATACCAGCTCTAAAAAATATTTTTATTGTCTTATCTATTCAGTGTGTGTGTGTGTGTTGTATTGTTGCACTGTGCTTTCTTAGTTCTATGTCAACTTGACACAGCTAGGGTCATTTTGAAAGAAGGAACCTGAACTGAGATAATGACCCACCAGACTGGCCTGTGGACAAGCTTGTGGTGCATATTCTTTTCTTTTTTTTTTTTTTTTTTTTTTGGTTTTTTTGAGACAGGGTTTCTCTGTGTAGCTTTGCGCCTTTCCTGGAACTCACTTGGTAGCCCAGGCTGGCCTCGAACTCACAACGATCCGCCTGGCTCTGCCTCCCGAGTGCTGGGATTAAAGGCGTGATGTGGGCTCACTGTGGGTGGTTCTGGGTACCATAACAGGCTGAGCAAGCCATGAAAAAAGCAAGCCAGTAAACAGCAGTCTTCCATGGTATCTGCATCAGTTCCTATCTTGAATTCCTGCCTTGACTTTGTGTGATGTAGTAACAAGCTGTAAAATGAAATAAATCTTTTTTCTCCCCAAGTGGCTTTGGTTATGGTGTTTTATCATAGCAATAGAAAGCCTAAGACAGGCATGCATGTGGAGTTCTGAGGATGATTTGTGGAAGTTGGGTCTCTGCTTCCATCATGTGGGGCCTCAGGATTGGTGGCAAGGGCCTTTAGTGCTGAGCCTTCTCACCAGCTCAGAACACTAGTTTTAAGCATATATATTAACCACAGTAAGACAGTATGAGCAGAGTGTAGTGGCACACATCTGGTTGAGCCAAGGGGATCATGAATTCAAAGCCATACAATTTCTAGTCTGGATTACATATATATGGTGAGACTGAGACTTTCACAAAATGAATTCATGTGCATCTGATTACAGTTGATGAGGGATGCTGAGGTAACTAGAATCAAAACCCAGGGATTTCAAACATATTATATAGTGTCAACTCTTACTAAGATGCAGGTGTGGCACAGGACTTTAATTCCAACGCTCAGGAGGCAGAAGCAGGCTGTGAGTTTGAGACTAGCAAGCTCCAGGCCGGCCAAGGCTACACAGTGAGACTCTGTTGAAAAACAAACAAAACAAGATGTGTGAAAAGCTAGATGTGGTGGCACAAGCCTGTAATCCGAAGCACTCATGAAGCTGAGGCAAGAAGATCACCTCTTTGGAAGCCAGCCTGGGCTATATATCAAGACCCCCACCTGAAAAAAAGGGGGGGGTGATGGGTTCCCAATACTGTGCTGCTTTAATTTTTGAAGCAAATATTAGGACATTTATAAGCCTTACAAGTTAACTCATGACTTGGATTACTCCTATTTATCCCACCCCAAACAAGTGTCGTTTTTCCATGGCAGGCATTTTCTGAGCCTAACCATCACACAGAACTAAGTTCTGTCCCATTCCCGCTGATTTGAATGGATTCTGGAAACCTCGGGGAGGCTAGATAACTTGCCCAAGGTCAGTAAGATATTTCAAACCTCCCATTCTTTCTAACCCCCGAACTAGCCCTTGAGGCCACCAATGGCTGATGGGGTGGGAAGACCTGGGTCTCTGGTGGAGGGAGGAGGCAGCTGTGAAGCACAGTGGACTAAGCACCAGGGGAGTGGGAGCCTGCAGGTTTACCCCCACCAGAGATTGGCAATGGGTGGGGGCTCTCTAGAATTGAAGGAAAGACGGGCCTAAGTCAGTCCAGTGATGCTTGAACTCAGGTTTGTGATGGTGGGTTGTGGTCCATCCATTTAGAGCCTAGGAGCTTCCTGCAGGGTGCACGCAAACACAGGTGCGCATCCTGCCAGGCCAAGCTCAGCTCGCTCTCCGCTCCCGCCTGCCTCAGAGTCCCTCTGGTCTGGGCCCACAGCCTCTCACCTGCCGGATGGCCGCAGCGCCTCCCTTCCTCCTCCACATCGCAGCCGCGACCCCAGCTGCGCCTGGCGGCCTGGATGCTGCCGGTCTAGAGAAATCGTCGCCATCGCCGCCTCCACCTCCGCGCATCCCGGGAGCCTAGGCGAGCCCGGGCGGAAGGCGCAGTCACCAACCGAACATGGGGCGCGGCCCCTCCCTCCAACCCTGGCCGCCCCGCCTGCCCGCACCCTCCCCGCCCACCAGGCGCCAGGACTGTGAAGCGCGCAGAGCCAGCCTCACCCTCGTGGGCGTGCGCCCGGACTACAGGGTTGCTTGAGACTGATGGTGATACACAGCAAGGAAGACAGTTAAGGGACGCCAAGCATAGTGCAACGCTGAGGTAAGGCCTTGTCTTAGGTGGCGACTGGGAGTCTGTGATGAGTGGCTCTCTCCACAGGCCTCCCGAGGGAGCTGAGTGCGCCTGCGGGATAGCCTTCAAGCTGGCCCTCCTGGCTTTCTCACTAGGCTGTGAAGTTATTATGACAATTTAAATCAATTTCAACACACGTATATGTATTAGATGTAGTAAGGGTGGGTGCAAAGTAAAACAGAAAACAGGAACTATTAAATTGTGTTGAGTGTGGAATTCTTGAAGAGTGATTGCGCAATCCAGGTTGGCCTATTTTTAATAAACACCAACAAAAACGTTACCTTCTGATCTCCTAAAGTCCACACATCTAAAGTAACAAACTCAATTTGGCTTTTGTTTTAGTTGGAGTCATCAAATAACAAAACGCTCTTTTTTTTTTTTTTTGGGTTTTTCGAGACAGGGTTTCTCTGCATAGCTTTGCGCCTTTCCTGGAACTCGCTTTGTAGACCAGGCTGGCCTCGAACTCAGAGATCCGCCTGGCTCTGCCTCCCGAGTGCTGGGATTAAAGGCGTGCGCCACCACCGCCCAGCTAGCAATGGCTTAGATCCTTATATTGTTTTCTTGGAGCTGAGGATCGAACCCAGGGCCTTCACTGAGCTAAATCCCCATCCTCCACCCCCCACCTTTTTTTAAAAAAAGATTTATTTATTATGTATACACTGTTCTATCTGCACATATCTCTGCAGCCCAGAAGAGGGCACCAGATCTCGTTAGAGATGGTTGTGAGCCATCATGTGGTTGCTGGGAATTGAACTCAGGACCTCTGGAAGGGAAAGCAATGCTCTTAACCTCTGAGCCATCTCTCCAGCCCTGTACAAACACTCTTAAGTTTGTTATTATGGGCGCAAAACGTATCTAGTTTACTCCTTCAGGATTCCAGCCTGGTTAACTGGGCTCTTTTCTAATCTCATCCACTACTTAGAAACAGAGAATGCTATTTAAATGTGCCTTCTTTCAAATGATACTAGAAACCAGAACCTTGATTCCATCCAGGTGGAATATTTTCTGGCGCTGTTGTTTTTCTTTATAAATACAAACTAGTAACAAGTTTCAAAGAAATTTAATTTTTCCTGTACTTTTTGCTAAGAAACACGTTGGAGGGCTTCGTGAAAGAAATATTAGAATTCTGTTTAGAAAAAGAATACTCAGCCTGGTCTACAGAAAAGAAAAAGAATACTCAAGAAAAATTCGCAACTAATTTCCATCTAAATTGTTCTACTCCCCAGACACTTGGCAATATATCAGTTCTAAGATATGCTGTCAGTAAGGGTAACGTTGGGCCCTAGAAACAATTGAGGAAAAAAAGACTAATTAGCAGTTAAGAGTGGAAATTCTGACCCAAATTATATGTCTCTCCAAATAAATTAACTACTGCTTGCATAATTTCTATTTATACAAAAGTGATAACAAAATGTTCATGTTGGACTACAGCCATCAGTGGTACCTCATATTGAAAAACACAAAAACTATTGTATAGGATCTAGAGATCTAGGAAAAAAGGTAGTTAGGGCGCATGGTTCTTGAGCTATGTGGGGTTACTCAGAAATACAAAATAGTAATGCATACAAAATACAGCAGTAAGGTTGATATGATAAACTGGATAACACTGGTACACTAATACAAAAGGCAAAATTTGCAAACAGTCAGGGCTAACAATGTATTAATACATGAACAGGTCCAAACCAGTTGACATGCATCAACATGTGTATTTGGGGAAAGCAGGTATTAAGGCCAATAAAATGTTCACATTCATAGGGCACCTAAATATCTTCATCCTTGGATATATAAGAAAATATAAGAATTTTCAAAGGATCCCTTCAGAAACTAAAGATTAGATCTTACTAAAAGAGAAAAAGTTTTCTCTTTTCCTTTTTCATCAAAGCTCATCAAATGCTCTTTCCAGTCCAAGCAACAATGGCTTTCTAATACTGCTTGCCTCTCTGCTCCCTGCCAGCTGTGCCCTGTTGACAGCTCTTGATCCTCTATCTCGACCCTTCTTATTGTTAGTCTAATAGCTGAATTAGACAGTATTAGCCATCCAGTTCTTTTTTCTCCTTCTCCAACTTGGGACCACTTGTAGTAAATTAATCATGCAATGATAGAATATTTAATTTCAAGATTCACAGTATAATCAGGGGGAAATGTCAAGCTAATAAGCAACAAACCTGATATTGTAGTTACCAGGGAGCATGCTGGGTACTCAGATTAAGGGACTCTGCTTTTAGGTTGAGTAGAATCTAGATCTTGGTTTTCATCAGGCATTCATCACTGATAGACTGAATCAATAAGGAGCTTTTTTGATATGTTAAGAATCTCACTCTGTAGTCTTCTGGCTCAGGATCCAGAATGCTTTACTAGTAGGTGCCACCTTGGCACTTTAAAAAGATGTTGGTGAAGTTTAAATCCCATCCAGCAAAATTTTAACTAAAGAACATGCTGACTACCAAACACTTTATTTTTAATTCCCACTTAGGAGCCATTGCTAAAGCATGTTTTTATGTAGCTTAGAAAAAGCTGGAGTATTCCTTCTTTGGGAGTTCTTTCTCAATTTTCCATAACAAAAACTAATAATAAATAAACAAATAAAATAGGGAGAAGGAAGAAAAAGCTGAAGTGGCTCCAACAATTCAAAGTTTCACTACTCAAAGAATTAACCATTCTTGTGATGACAGAAAAGTTCATCACATGTGGCTAATGAGCACTTAGAGCACACCTAGTGAGTCTGGCCACCGCACTCAACAGGGCAGAGTTACGTAATTCATTCTGGCCAAAAGAAAGAAATTCACAGATCTAAACCTAAGAAGGCAAATAATCTGCAAAAGTTGCTACCTACAAAACTGTCTTCTCTTAATGAAGACAAAAGTCAGGCATTAAAAACAATCCTTTTTATTGGGTTTTAAACTAGTTACACAATTGAAATAGTCAATTAGGCACTACTCTATACAGGGATTATTCCTGTGTATGCTGACACTTCAATACTGTATCAAGACCACTGAAGTGCTTAGATTGGGATGGTCAGCATGTAGATACTAAAAAATATATTGCAGTGTTCCTTTAAGGGTGTGTCACAAGATGCCATTCATCAACTTTTGAGTTATTCCAACTAGAAGATACTTTGTACATTATAAAGTTGTGACAGGCAAACATGTTATCACTTAGAGATACACACAAAAAGTACATTCTAATATTAAATGAACTTTAAAAAGTCCCACATTTCAGCTTTTGTAACATGAGAAGATAAAATAATTTCAAAACACACACCAAAAACTGGTATTCTGTAGGTACAAAGTCCTATAGTAAAAAGTTGTGTGTGAATCTTTACAAACCAGTCACACAAGGGCTGCATCTATACAAAGTCTTGCCAATGTTATCTCTATGGTTTATGCAATCTTTTACATCTGTGTAACACACTAAATAAGTCAAATACCAAATCTTATTACTGTCATGATTCTGCAGGCAGGCTGAGAAGAAGTGGGGAAGAGGGAGAGATGAAGAGAAGGAGGGGCGGAGATATTAAAAGAAAATTTCTATAAACACAGCAATTGTCCGTTTTTATGAGGTGCAACATATTTCCAGGTGAGGTGCCAAACAGTATTTATGAAGACTATAGGGCAAAAAGCAACCAGCCAAGGTGTTTATTGATGTTGTTTTTATTTTTAAAATCACACACTGTATACACATACAAATCACTCTAAAATTTATTCACCAGACCCCCAATTTTTCAGCAATTGGCTCTTATTCAGCACCAAAAACTCCAGTCTGTGGGGACACAGACACAGACTTCTGCATTGTGGTCAATCTGTCAGGTCATAGGTTAATTCTGAGACTTGCCCCCTTTGATCCTTTTCTCTTCATGGCTCTCCAGTCCCAAGGCTGTGCAGACTTCAGATTCATGGCCCATGGCCTACTACCACTGAACAACCCAACAGCCTTTGAAGAAGAATTCAAAATAATTTGAGATGAATGAAATGACAGGACCCACATTACTGATGAGCATTCTCCATTCAAGGAAATGGTTTTGTTTTTTCAACAAGTTTCTAGACTGTTTGGTCATGATGCCATGATCATACTGGATTATTTCTAGTCTGAGACTTTGTGACTTTGTCATATGTCTCAAAGAAAAAGGGATCAGTATTCTGGGAACACTTCAGGGCAAGTTAGGGAATCAAATGGCAGCCGAGAACCTGTGAATAGAGACTAAGGAGGCCAAACACAGAAGCCACTAAAATGATGAAAGCTCAACAGAGGCTGAGTCGTGAGACCTGGAGAGTCACCACAGATGGTACCTGAGGATCTGGAATTTTTGATGAATTGAGCCCCAAATCAGGACTAGTCATCTGCATTAAGGAAAAAAAAAATTTGTTAGGTAACAAAACACTCAGTTCTAAAATCCCACCAAATAGATTCTCTTCATTTTTCCAACCCTTGTCTATACAAAGACTTCCTGGACTCCCCTTTTTACAGAGGGTAATTAAGAGAATTTAGATGAGCTGCACATGGCGAGGAATGCCTTTAATACCAGCACTCTGGAAGGGGGAGAGGGAGAGTAAATTTTAGACTCTACCAAAAAACAAAAACAAAAACAAAAACCCAGACAAACAAAAAAGAATCCAGATGAATGCTCAGCAGTTAAGAGCATTTGCATCTGTTCCAAGTAACCACACTTACAACCATCTGTAACTCAGTTCCCTCTTCTGATCTCCACAAGCATGCCATACACATGCGACACACATACAAGTCAAATAGTCACACACATTTAAAAAAAAAAACAAAAACAAAAACAAAAAAACAACCAGATGAAGTGTTCTCATGACTGTAGAACACAGAGTTTCCAGTACAACCCCAAATATCCCATTCATGAAGCAATTTACACTACAATTTCTTTTCTTTCATCTGACTATCCCAGGCTACTAATGTAACTTATTTGTTTAAATAAGTTACATTTAACTGTCCCACAGCAGTCACATAAA